ATGAATGTTTGGATTATGACCATCTCTGAGCTGCACAGCCAGTAATATTATTGTGGAATAGGAACTCTTGATGGAGTATCAACTTAGAAAAAGACAAATTACAAAGTCATTCATGGTGTATGAATAGAAATGTAATGCATGTACCAGAGGATTATCCATGCAATGTTATGTGATGCAGTCTGCATGTTGACAGTATTTCAATTACTGATTGTCTGCAGAAAGAAAAGCAAATGGTACTTTCATCTGATTATTATTGTCTTTATTTTCTAGTTGAAGTACTGGTTTGTTCTGCACCAGGAATGTGGAGTTCAACCCTGCCTAAGATTCCAGACCACCTTCTATTCTATTGCTATCTTTAAGTCCCATTCATCATTCAACTTAAAACCAGAATATTCATACCTTGGATTAAAACATGACAATGTAGTTTAAAGATATATTGTTTATTATTTATTTCTTCATTATAATGATGCTGATAATTTCATATCTATTTCTGGATGGCTTGGGATTCCTCATCCCAACTTTACCTGGACCTGTAAGCAAGCTATACAAGTAATTGATGCTAGTCAAGCGATTGCATTGTTGGCATTATAATGTTCTATTTTATGATATCTAAAGTGCATGTGTATATGGTAGGATCAATTCTGGTAAGACATACCTTAATTTATTGGAAGGTTGTAGATACATGTACATGCATTTTGACTAGAATCACTATAATTATGATAGGAATAACTTGTGTCAACTATTGTCACTGTGTACAATTTTTAAGATATTGTTTTCATAAACCCAAGGTATTGCCTGTACTGTACCAATTTTTGTGCATTCCTTTTGATAGTCATTAAAAAAAACCTGTCATGAAATTGTCTGTGTTGCCTTATTTTTTTGTTCTTTTATAAATAATCAAAGTATGATTTCACAACAAGATGACACTTAAGCACAGTGGAGGCATTGGGGGATGACAAGCTAGAAGTATCATGCTTTCACAGAAGACAAGTATCCAATAATTTCCTGAATATTATCCCAGTACCAAGAAATTTCATTGAAATGGCCTAAGTATAAGTTTAGGATAAATATTTACATATCTTGATAATGATGTGTACAAAATTTCTAAAAAGTCAAGAATCAGAACTCAAAAACTCGCTAAGAGTAAGACATGTGATGTAGAACAGGAAAAAATTTGACTTTGCCGCCAGGAAGTCTACCCATCGTCCCTTGAGCGTGAAACGAGCCTCGATCTCGTGAATGCCGGCGTTGCCTCACCATTGTACTTAGCACCATGATTAGAACAGGTATATACAGGTTATTTTCATTAAAATTTCATCAATACTTCCATTTCTTTTTCCAAAAAAGGTTAAGATGAAGGTCTTTAGTATGTTTACTATGTAACGTTATTTTAGGCTTTATCGTGAAAAAAAAACTATTTTTGAAAATTCAAGATTAATGATCCAAGATGGCGGATATCTTAAATATGCATGACGTCATTTTATGACGTCACCGGTGTTGCTTTGGGCAACATAAGACTTGGTACACCCTAATATTCTGTTATAAACACTTTTGGTACAGTTATAGTGAATACCTTTTAGTTTTCAGGGAAAAACCTATCTAGACGTTTTGGCCAATAAAATCACATTAATGACGTCATAATGACGTCATATTACGTCATAACGACATTAAAATTGTAGATGTGATAAATTTTCACTAGTACACCATCCTCTGAAAATTTGGTGGTCATACGACATACCGTTCGCGAGGTCTGAGGGAGGGTCAAAAG